TCAGGGGAGGATTTGCCCTGGAGGAGGTGGGAATGGGGGGTAGGCTGGGGAAAAGGAGAGGGTGTGGGAGGGGGGAGAATAGGGGAACCCATGGCTGATATGTAGAACTGAATGGTATTGTAAAATAAATAAATAAATAAATAAATGAAAGAGAAAATACTGTGTAAAATAGTATATATGGTTAAAAATAATATATAGAAATTTATAAATATATGTGTATATTATACGCATATACAATTGCATGGAGAGGGAGAGAGGGTGGGGATCTGGATGTGGGTTTGTCATCCTGATGCTACTGACATTTTGTATTGGATTTTTTTTTTTTACAGTGTTTGTGATTGAACCCACAGCCTGTGCATGCTGGGCTAGTATTCTATTACTACTGAGTTACATCCCCAGCATGTGGTGGGTACTTCTTTGTTGCAGAAGGCTCTCCTGTCACACTGGATGCTGTTTATCAGCATCCCTAGCCTCTACTCACCAGACAGCAGCAGCAGTCCTAGGTTGTAACAACCAAAAATGTCACCAGGCATTGACAACATTGCCCCAGGGTCAGATCTGCTACTCGGTGTAGTAACAGATAACATTTATCGATATGCATTGTAGTATTTTCCAAAACGTCTAAAATTACATTTGTAGTCCTGGGGCGGGGAGGAGGGGGGGATGTTCTCTGAGAAGGCAAATTTACTAATAAGGGAAGCAATGGTTTGTGTTTTATGAATAAGCTGCCATCATGGAAAAGGGGTAACCCAGCCACTGTGGGATGTCGACTGTGACTTTTCTTCCATCAGATATCAGTTAGCAAGGGCTGAACAGAAAGAAAGAGAGGGGAAAAAAGGAAGGAAAATAGCTGCCATCTTTTCTACCTGCGTCAGGTACATCCGGGCAGTGACAGCGGAGAGAGGCGGGTAAATGAGGATCGGTTTCGTTGTCTCGCCCACGGCGTCGCCGATGAGTTTCCCATTGGCGGAATAAGCCGCGATGGCAAATATGTACTTTTCATTGGTTTCTAACCCTTTAATTTCAAAGGTGCTTCTGCCGTCGGCTGGAATCTGTGAAGGGAAACACTTGGGCTCTAACTCAGAAAGTTACGGCAGTGTGACGATTAAATCATAATTGGATAAACCTTTCTCCCTCGCCGCTGGATCTTCGTTGGGACTCGAGTTGGAATTAGTGTCCATTCTCCGCTGTGGTGACTTCACAGGGAGAACACACACACACACAAGGTTGTCATCAATGAGGCTTCGGGGCAGGGAGTGTGACCTACCGCTTCTCCTGAGTTGGGGAGGTGGTTGTTATTCAGTCTGACTTTGCTGTAGCTTCCACCTGCTTTGCACCCCAGGATGCAGTACCAGGACACCTGGCGGGGAGAGAGAGAGACAGCCAGTCAGCGGCGGCCGGGGAGCACTTGATTTCCTCTGTCTGGACGCAGCAAGATCAATCGCCGTCCGACGAGAACAGTAGCTGCTCGTCTGTTAAACTATGAAATCTAAACTTATGTGTACGCATGTCATCTTTCAAAAGGAACAGCAAATGTGGGGCTTGCTTACCTGGGACAATCAAGACGAAAATGTTATTCATAATCTCTCTCTCTCCCATTTCTCTCTCTTCTCTCTCTCTCTCTCTCTCTCTCTCTCTCTCTCTCTCTCTCCCATTTCTCTCTCTCTCTGTCTCTCTCTCTCTCTCT